TTTACAAAAAACTATATTTCTACATGACTTACATTCAATAAGGCCTTCAATGAGCTGTTTTGGCAATAACATGCAGAAACTTTGTTTACGCGCACGAGCGGCTGTGCGGTAAAAGAAAATGTTCTACACAAAACTTTTGTGTTACTGCATTTTTTGCAACAAAACTTCACAGAATAGCTAAATATAATTTTTAAAAATTCCATCACTGCTTATTTCTGAAAATAAATGCGATTCCTTAAACTCCGTTTGAGTTCCATTTGATCAAATTCGCACAAAATATCCCAGTTCTGGAAGGGATTATTATTCCAGCCTTTTTCTACTAATTATGGAATTCTTCCACAGCACAATGTATATTAGAAGAAAGTTTCGTCCTGTCTTTCCTTATAGCATACGAATTTCCTTTTATGTAAACATACTCATGATTTAACAAAAATGAGAGCCTATTTCCCCCATAACTTTAAATAAGAGGGCAGCTTTTCAAACCAAGGCCCTTATTATTATTATTATTAAATCCACTCAGTTGATCAAAATAACTTGTCCAGATATACGCTTAATTGCCCCGATAAATTTCGTCCTGAAATTTGTTTGCAGGATTCGCAGAACTGTACTTTACTAACTGCTATATGCATTTTTATTTTATTTTATTTACAGATGCTGTTAATTTATATCTGTAGATTTTTCTAATCTGTATTTTCGTCTAAAGTATCGCGGAAAAACCCGATTATCAAATTGCAGGTTGTTTGAAGTTCCCGAAACCGGTGACAAGAAGGTCGTCTTCTTCAACTTTCCTGAGTATAAATGAAAGTTCTGGAGTTAGATTAGTATAGCTCGCTTCGAGAAGCACCGCGCACACCTTCAATTTGCACTCGGAACACCTCACTCCCAGCCGCCCCGGGAAACAAATTCGACTACATTTTTTAAACTTAACACTTGCTCCTTAAAATTCCCTTACCTGCCCATTCTATTTCTCCACTCTGAAGAGCTCTTTTACCACCATGTCCTTGGGACAAAATTTTAGGACTAGGGTTTTATGAGGTGCACTACACAATTTATTTTGCCGATAACTAACTAATATCCTTTTGTTGTGTACACAATTTTCTTAATGATAACATTCCAAACAAAATAATATAAGTAATACAATTATCAGTTTTTTGTTGTTGAATGTGAACTATTTAGAAGGTTTTTGAAAATCATTGTATATAACGCATACAATTTAATTGGGAATTTTTTCATAGTATATTTTTCGCAGGCTACCGTGAAGGAGGGCTTTTTCAGAAGACATTCCGAAATCTAGGAAATATCTTTACAACATGCTGCACAGTAATTTATTTTCCAACTCAACCTAAGCAATCGTATATAATCCAAAACAACTTCCCGAATTTTTATAATATTTAATGAGTTTTTCGAAGCATATTTTACTGGAGTCTTGTTTGTTTTTTGTGATATTTCAAATAGTTATTATCATGTAGATGGGACTTCGTATGCCATATTTAGATACTGAAAGGCAGTTTGCTTTCAAACCAAATCTTGAGGAAGCTGTAAAAACCCAAATATTTCTTGGAAAGTAACCATGCTTTCTCAGCGTTCATTATTACTCTATGGAGCAACGGAGTTTTTAATGACCTCATCGACCGCTAATAATAGGTACAAATGTTTTAAAGTAATATAGAAGAAACCAAATAAAATCACCTTTCGAGCTTCCACTGAAGGCCAGTTTTCTGCACAGACGGTATTGTTCTGTTTGCTTTCCAGTTGAATTTGTTGAAATATTGCCAGCGGTAAACAGATGAGCACCGAAGTACACCATATGGCAGCAATTATGGAAAAACACATCCAACGCTGCATTTTTGGAAAGAAGGGGTGCACAATCACAAGATAACGATCAACCGCGATAGCTGTGGAAGTGAGTGTCGAAACGTGCACCGAGACTCCCATTGTGAAGGGAAGGAGTCTACAGAGAAAATGCGGCAGAATCCATTCATCTGTGTAGTATGCAATCGGCGTGAACAGAGCCGCAAACATACTCATCAACACGTCGGAGATTGCCAAATTGGCAATGAAAAAGTTTGTTATGGACCACATTGATCGACACCGGATGACAACGTATATGACAATATTGTTACCGACGAGGCTGAGGAAAACGATGATGGAGTAGATAGCAAAGAGGACCACGGGGCTAACTTTTGAAGCGTAGACAATGTCGAAGCGAGCCTCTCCCTGGCCCCCTTCCCCCGCTTGCATGGGAGAACTGGCATTTGGAAAGAGCTTAGCTTCCATTTGGAATAACCTCTCAGACTCTACTCGACGGCGCAAGGAAATATCCTCCAGGTTCAAAAGCTTGTGCTTATTTAAACGGCATTTTACTGGCTTTACGTTGCATCCTCAAACGAACCAATCATAGAGCTCCGTCCGCTGGTCTGCCCAATTGAACACTACTTGGGACGAGCTAGCTAGTTCTAACGTGTGCGGTGAGGATAAAATCTGTTCGTGAACTTCACCGTTGACCCCATTATTAGGCAGTCGTCGAGATGCGCATGATTTATACCTTTTAATTTAAGCATTTTTTAAAGGGAAGAATTTAAAAGGTCATCAGCCACGCTGACTTATTTGTACGCTACTGAACGTAATAAGAAACACAAAACGCGAGGAACAAGACAGAGTCTGGCGCAATCCTTGTACAAACTATTAAATGAAACAGCGTAGCATGCATAATTTTCAAAAAATCATTTTCTTCAGAAATTACCATTTAAACTTAAAAATGCCTGCTATGCCTAACGCGGACAGTAGGCCTCCGAGTTGAAAACAGAGCTTAAGTTTTAACTATCCAAATCATTATGTAGACCAGGTTTTCGTCATATAGACGCTAGTTCAAAATTTCAGGTTCCCTTTGGCCGAAAGTTCCGACGATAATTTTTTTGCGTTTGGCCGTTTAACGCTTACATCGGTGTATTGGCACGCATTCGTTTAAACGTAAAATAACATCGAGCAGATGTGAGTACAAGGCGTCTGTTTTGAAAAACCTGATGGATTTTAGCTCGTTGCAGCTTTCCAGTTAAATGTTTTGGAAGTTGAAACGTCACCTTTGGGGCAAACATAAAAATGTGATTTTTAAAACTGAATTGCGGAGCCAAAAGAAAATCTAGAATGACCGAGAATTTGTTGATGACAATCGTATAATCCAATAACCTAAACACAATACAACGCTTACCCAGGTTTTTGACCCACACACGTAGTATACTAATAAATATATTCAGTTGAACTAACTATTAGGACATTTGCGGCCTCGGCAGACTTTTGTGCAGCCAAAGCTCTACCCTTGAGCTACGAGACTGCACAAAAGCCTTCCTTGCTGTGGGGGTTCGACTCTCACCGAAGCCGCGAAATTCTCACAATTAGTTCAACGAAATTAAGCAAATCTGTCAAACCACATTATTATAATTATTTTTGGACTCTTACTCGAGGCTATTTTCAAGGAATAACAAAATTTACAGATCACCGCCTTCTATTCAATTACCTGGACCTCGCATATTTTCCGCTATTCAGAACTATAAATGTATGCAGAAATATATTACCGACAAAGATAAGGGAGACCACAATGGTCATTTATGACTTACTGGCTGTTGTCGGTCATATGAACGTGAACATTCCTGCTATGAGCAATGCCAACAGAAGGCTTCCAATTTGATGACAGAAGTTTGCTTTCGACTCCATCTATATCAGCACGTAGACCAGGTTGTCGTAATATAGACGTAACTTTAAGACATCAGGCTCCCTGCGCCCTCATTAGCTGACAGTTTCGAAAAAAATGTTTTGTGCATTTCACTGTTAAACGCTTATATCAGTGTACCGGGCATTCGTTTATAGGTAAAATGACATTAAGCAGAAATGAGTACAAAGCGTCAGTTCTAAGGAACTTGATGGATATCAGCCCGTTAAAACTTTCCATTTAAACGTAATACGCGTGCGAAACGTCACAGTTGGAAGAATCATAAAAACGTGATTTTGAAGACCAAGTTACAGAGCAGAAAGCGAACGTAAAGCGACCGATAATTTTCTGATGGCAATCGCCACATCCAATAACCCAAACTCAATACAACACTACGCTTGGCCTTTTGCCCAGGCACCTGCAGGGAGAGTGGTATATTATTAAATACAGTAGGCGCCAAAATTAGGGCAACATGTTGAAATATGCAAAAGATCGATAGTTCTCCTCTAATCAGCATTGACTCAGGTTGTGATACTGATTATCTTGTAGCCTATTCTTAAGTTATTTCAGTCATGATTGGATGCGGTCTTTTTAACGAACTTCGTTTTGACCACTAATAAAACGTATGTACTGTAAAAGTAACTACTTATAATAATATGCGTTTTTATCATTGATTTTAACTGCCTTTATAAATTCAAATATATCTTATGGGAAACATGCACGAAAAAAAATTTTTTTTATTCTTTTGGTAGCAAATTACGCCTTCTCTAAATTGTATGCTTAAAGGCAGGGCACCTTTCGGTTTTAAAAATTTTTCTAAATTAACAAATGATTTTGTGACCTAATGACTTCTATACTCGAATTCAAGGTTTACACACTGCGCACTGTATACATCCTGTTTAACACTTTGACTGCGACTCTTAAAATAGCCTGTATGCCTCTGGGGCGGCGTTTTCAAACCTGCATTACTTTAGGCCTAGACGTGTACCATATGTGGCGCACGTCGCAGTTTGGGACATCATTGCATGTACCACATATGGTGTACGTCGCAGTCAAAGTATGAAGGAGAAGTACTTTTTCGCCTATAGTTTTGGGAAGAAGTCACAAGATTCACATAAAATGTTGCAATTGATGTAGAGCATGCTTTATACAATATAGGCAGCATTAATAAGTTTATGGATAGGATGTACTATGACTGAACATCTCGCAATCGTAGAAAGCTCATAATTAGAAATGTTTCTAAAACCGCAGCATAGCCTTTCTTTAAGTATAAAATTTAAAAAGGCGTAATTTGCTATCAAAAGAGTGTAATACGTATTTTTTCCTGCATGTTTTCCATAAAAAATATTTGAATATATATAAGCAGTTAAAATCAATGATAAAAACGCATACTATAATAAGTAGTTACTTTTAAAAATGCATGCATTTTGTTAGCGTTCAGAACTAAGTTCGTTAAAGAGCCCGCATCCTATCATGACTGAAGTAATTTCAGAATAGGCTACACTATAATCAGTAACAACATGAGTCAATGCCGAAGAGCGGGAATAGCAATCTTTCGCAGCTGCCAGTATGTTTCACGAATTCTGGCGCGTACTGTATATGCCGAAATATTTTACAACAAAAATAAGGAAGACTGGAATAGCTATTTCTGTCATCGTCGGCGAACCATACACAACACCAAGCATGATGACCATGGCTAATTAGACAGAAAGGAGTATTCCGGTCTCAATTTTTTTTGCCGATACTGTAGTTCTGCCTACAATATGCTAGCCCTTGAGTGGGTTCTGGTTGGTCTCAAGAGCGAGCCCCAACGCTGAACGAGTAGCAGGAGGTACGCCGCAGTTTCCGAACGTGAGGATATGAGAACTGAGCGATGGTAAACTCCCTACAAGCGTCCATAGAAAACGATCGAATGTCGAGGTAATCGTCAATTATCGAAGCAATCACCCCGATACTTATCAAAAACCTGCGTCAAAGCTCTATTCTATCGCTGTGGCTATTAAAATAGCGATGGTCATCTCAAGGAAGAACTTGCTTACCTTTATCGGTCGTACCGATCTAAAAGATATTCCACCGCTTTTCCAAAAAAACTGTCTTTAGCATCAAGCTCAATCGCAAGCCCCTAACCACAACGGAGAAATTAAGACAAAAGAATTCTCCTTCCTGTATTTTAAGTAGGGAACTACTGCAGTAATTGCCAGCAAGGCAAATCGCTTCGATATCAACATCACACACAAACTAGCATCCTCATTACGCACAGCGCCGTAGCACATAAAAAATCTCATCCCAAGGGACCAATAATCTAACGGAATTTATCGCATAGCTTGTGCAGATAACTCCTGCGTGTATATTGGCCACAAAGGTCTACTCCTGGGCACCAGTTCTTAACAACAGATTGGTTAAGTAAGAAGAT